TCAGGTACCCCTGGACGGGAAGAAACCTTTTTTGCATTCCTTGACAGAACAGTCATAGGGAACATGATTTTATAACCTAAATAAACCTTTCCTAATGTAATTCGACTACATTTCTAGTGCTATCTTTGACAAAATAATGTTAAAGGAGGCCAGATACCAAAAAAAAAGTTTTCCTGATATTTTGCATAGAGAACCCCCATGAGGGGTTGAACTCATTACAGGCAGCTCAGGGGTACAGCGCCGCTACCGGCTGAGCTACGGGGGCGCGAAGGCGCCTGACGACCGATGGTCTACATAAGCGCGGCGCGATTTCGTCCCACGAAATTTTTGCTGTCTTGCCTCCTTTAACATTTTTAACTACAACAGATTCCTATTTATTTTTCAAAAATTCTAAGCTGAAAGGAAACAAATAAGACATGTTGTTTCAGCACAGGAAATACTTAAAATAACAAAAATAAACTATTCCGAGTTAAATCTAGACATTATTCGTATCAAGAAATATTTTCATTGTCAAAACGAAATTGGTCACCGTTTGAATAGTACCGCGTGGGACCAATCTAAATGTGGCTCCTGTATCTTAGAAGTCTCCTGACATCTGGTAATTTTAATTTCAATTTTTAAAAAAAACAAGTTCGGATTTTTTGGGCCATGTACCGGAAATTGACTTTCATAGAGAAAGTGTCTTAAACTTCGAAAAAATGATACTTAATGGAAAAAAACGACCAAAAAACTTAATAATTGAATCAAAATGCAACAAGTATTCAAAAATATCCATAAAAAGTGTGAACCCTTTTAAGGACCTATTTTTTTTCTAAGGACCACAATTTGTTTTAAGAACCAAAATTTTTTTAGGACCAAAATTTTTTCCAGGACCAAAAGTTTTTTCTAGAGATCAAAATTTTTCTAAGGACTAACAAGGGAACCACAACACCTCGTCACCATAGATTTTGATGAAAATTTCAGGATGGCCTATCTAGAAATTCCTGAAAAATTTAGAACACGCTCGCCAGTTTCAGCCGAGTTCTCAATTTCTAGGACGTTTTAGAACATGAAATGTTTTGTCTTATGCTTAAATGAAATTTCATAATTTTGAGGTTTTCTCAAAAAACAAATTTTCAAAAATTTTGAGAATTTTGTCGACCACTTGGTTGGGAGATGTTATCCAACTTTTGTCTTTTGAGAAAAATTTCTTTGAAAAAGTGGGGATTATCATTTGAAAATATTATGGTAAAACTGATAGATAACCTATTTCCTGATCAAATTCTTTTCATTATCAAATATGGTCACTATAGACACCAAAACAGCGCTTCAAAACTGCTACTTTCCAGTGGTAGTGGTACTTCAAAATTATTTTTTGAAATTTTTGAGTTTTTTTTTCAAATTTAAATAAACCTAAAGAAAAAAAACCACAAGCGGGTGCGAACCGATAACTTTGTGATTACTGGTGCTAAATCGCCTACACCAAAATCCCCTACACCACGCTGCCGTTTCAAACTGATTCGAAAGGCGGTTACATGTGAGGTCGTCTCCAAACTTCTCTCTTAGGGAATTTGGAGAGGGAACATGTGGTAAAGCATGAAAATCCACTGAATTCAGTACTAAAACTTTGGACTGAAATATCTCGTCTGAAAGTGGCTAGCGTTTTTCTAAAATTTTCAAGGATGTCTAGATAGGCTATACTCAACCTCTCCTGAAATTTTCATCAAAACCTGAAATGACGAGGTGTTGTGGTTCCCTTGTAAGATATCATAGTGGGTCGACATTTGAAGTTAAAAAAAACATAATTAAATCTACCTGTCACTTCAGCTTTGCGAAGAACACATTTCCCTTCTACCCATGCACACTTTACTACTGCTTCGTCTACAGTGCCGAAATCCTCAGGGCGAATGTATGTGTTTTCGGATGTCAAACATGCTAAATTCGAGCGTGGTATTTTTTACCGAGTAATTTTTTTCAAACCTGCTACTTCAACTGCAAACGTTCCATTCTCATACTTTTTACATTGCATTGTTGATCCTTTTCCCACAACTTTTTTCTCCGAGCCAATCTATTCGAGTTTAATTTTTTTTTTGTTCTGAATTTTCATCATTTTTCTTACTGTGATCACATCTTCTCTTTTGTCAATCCATGTAGCACGATCACCGTATACTTGATCACCAACACGACATCCTATTGCTGAAATCGTGTGTGTCTTTTTTGCGACTATGTGATAATAATGAAGCAAACACTTTATTATTACAAGAGATGGATTAATGAAGAATATACGAGAAGAATTAAGAACAATTGGGTAAGAAAACATAATTATACTGGTTCAAATTTCGACATCACCGTTTGGTCTGACAATGACATAGTTAGCTGGCACAATAGCGTGATAGTTTAGATTGTGCTCACTTGTTTGGTGATTCAACTTCACTTTGTTGCGTTCAATGAAGCAGGTGAACGTCTCTCCATCTGGGAAAGAACGAGATTTTCCGACGGGAAGTACTTCTCCAACAGGGTCGAGACAAGCTGTAAATAATATTTCGAAATACCATATTTTTGAGGAAAACATTGAAAAAAGATTCTTGAGAAGCTCCCAATTCTGAAATCAACTGGAACTAACCTTTCACGGAATATTGTGCGTTACGTCCATCAATGACACAGTGATACTTGAACCATTTCTCGTTATGGGTTTCCCATTGCATTAGAGTCATACCAGTCAAGTCGTTCGATGGTTGGCATCCTTTATATTGTTATATATTTTTTTAATTCTATTCTTTTCCCGCCCTACCAATAATAGTATATCCTTTGACAGTTCCACTTTGAAAACATTCATACTTGATGTAGTTCTCCACAAAGAAGCTCCCTGGGATGCAGTTTTCCAAGTTGATCGGAGAAATGGCGCCAACTATAGCAAAATGAGCTAGAAGTATGAAAGCTATGGTCGAGAACCTCATGTCAAAAAGATTCGAATGGAGTGTAAGCTGTGGGATGTGTTGGTCGAATGTCGAAAGTGCAGTAAAGAATGCTAAAAAATAGGGATGTCAGGACACTCAAGAAACAGAATTGAGAACCAAGAGAAGCAGAGTGAGTGGAAAACGAGCAATCATTTATCAATGGACCGAAAGCTTTTTCGTTTACCACTGACGATTGGAATCAACAGGGAGAGAAAGAGAGGAAGTGATGAACAATTTTTATTAACAAAACTAAGGATGACATTAAAGCAAATTAAACGAGCAGTTCAAACTTTTGGAGCTCGAACCAATGCTTCCTGTGCAGTAGAAATAATTAGGCGTCCATCGCGAGACCACAATCGACCCTCAATGAATGCTCGACTTCCTCCTGTGAACAACAAAATATGATAAATACCAAGTTATGACTAGCTACCTGCTTTTGAGCTCACAGTTTCATATAACATCCAATCATCCATTCTGAACTCGTTCTCATGAATCCAGACACAATGGTCGAGAGAGAAAGACATCGACGGAATGAAACCCTTTCTAATGTGCGGACGAACAGCCGTGGTCAACATGCTAAGATCGGTCAAATATGCGGCAACACATTGGTGGAGACGGGTATCGTCACCTGAAATATAATTTTCTACTAGGATAACATTTCCAGTGATTTTGAGTTATTGGACGCATTTAGTTTTACGTTCAATTGTGGCTTTCCATTTCATCGTGCCATTGAAGCGCACGACTTTAAAAATAAAACGTTCAATTCTCGCGATTCTTACCTAAATTTTCTCTGGCACGAATCCAAATCATGGACATTGGCTCAGTATCTTCTTTCAATAAGTATTTTGCTGGATTCACTGGTCTCACATCAAAAACTCTTTCGAACGCATCAGGAATCTCTTTCAAAAAATGTTGAATCACTCCAGCGGTGACTTCGTCCACGCTATTACTTCTCAACACTTCAAGAGCTGCTTCGCGCGCAGGCTGAAACAGAGTTCACAATACTTATTGCACTTGGCGGAAAGATAAGGCGACTAACAAGTAATTCTTCCGGTGCCGCAACTTCCGGCATTCTTGAACTATGCTTGATTGCATCTGGTTCTTTCTGAAATTATGTAGATTTCCCAAGTAAACTGGATATATATTCTATTATTGTGCCGTACATGATGGAAGCTGATTTGGCATGAAAAAATCGCCTCCCCATCTTGAACCGCTTTGACAACTCTTGTACAAAAACTTCGTCCATCGCGAATCCGATCTATCATGTATAGAATGGGCTTATCGACACTGCCTGAAAAATATTTTTTTGGTTTGAAACAGTTGCTGTTTGTTACTTCCGCCGAAACCAACTGACCTGTTTTGATGAAATAGCTGTGTAAAGAGTGTGGTATGAAGCAATCTTCGACTGTTGCAGCAGCTGCCGCAAGCGATTGGCCGACTACCTAGGAAATGGAAAAAATCGAAGAAAACCTTGGGAGTTTCAACATACCTGCCCGCCATAAACCGCGTTATAAGAGTGACGACCTTTGAGAAGATGGCGAGCACTGGAACAAAATGTATGTACTTGCTTTTATAAAATGGCAACTAACATGTACAAGTTGGTGTCAATCCTCTGCAAGTTCAAAAATGTATCGATAAGGCCGGCTTTGATGTCGTCTGCCCTGGACTCAAACTCGATGTGTTCCACATTACAAAGAGGAGTACCCTGGAAAATTTAGATTGCATCTTGATAATAATGATGTTTTTACCTCCGTTGGTGGTTTGGGTCTTGCCATAGTCGCTAGTAAACCTGAAAATTTGAAATGATCATCGCTGTTTTTCTTTTCTGTTTCAAAACTTGTTTTAACAAGAGACGCAGCAAAAAAATTCATCATATAATGACGGATGGAAAACAATGTTGTAGCCAAAGTGAAAATTTTGTGTTGAATGGAAAACAAAACCAATGAAGTTGTCTTTTTCGCAACATTAAATATCAACTGTAATCTGAAACACGGAAACAAAGCGCCTAGCGTAGTGTGGTCAAACAAATGGACCAACCACGTGTGGGTTTATCAGCACATTCTAATGCTCCATTATAGGCAAATATGCATAGTACAATAGAATTATTTCATTGAAGTAATTATTTGTTTAGTAAAACTGAAAAAATTAGTTATTTTAAATTAAAAAAGGAAACAAGTCCTTCAAACAACTAAACTTCAAGTCAATGTCTTGAAATCTAATAGTTTGAACGTAGGAAAAAATCTCTTTTTTGAAATATATAATGAATCAGGAATCAATTAAAAAGTGGGATAAATATTTCACAATGAATCATTTTCAAGGCGCAATATGCATTTCAGTGTTGGCATCGGCATAAGCTGAGCCGTAGGCATGATAAGAAGTTGTTCGAAGACCAGATGCTGGAGTTTCAATCACGACATGGCTTGTAGTTGTTGTACGCAAATGCTCCGCATTCTCCATCAATTTTCGATAGTGAATGATTTCATTACGGAGATTCTTTATATAAATTACTATCAATTGATCAACACACGTTTCACTTACAATTTGATTTTCTACAAGTTTGTCGAGCTCCACGGAAAGTTTGGTGCATTCTTCTCTCATTTTGATGACAGAATTTTCTTTCTCGGTGAGTGCAAACTCGAACATTCGGAGGTTTTCCTTGTCCTGGTAGTGCAGATCGTCAATTCTCTTCAGTAGTTGTTGATTCTGCAAGAACGTTATCAAGAAAAAGTTTTTATAACCTAGTTAAACCAGTGTCTCTGCATCCGAAAACTTTCCACGAAACTCGTTTACAATTGACCGGATTCGTAAGATTTCTTCCTGCAAGCAAAAAGAAGAATTGTCTTTAAAGATAAAGCATCATTCACTCTTGCATGATTCTGATTCAAGCTGAATGCTTCAGAGCTCTTTTTGATTTCAACGATTTTCTTATGATACCAATCCTCCCATGTTTTTCTGGTCGTGCGTGAATCTTTCTCGAACCGATCTCGAATATCTTTCATTGCAGCATGCAGTTCTTTGTGGAAATAATCTCTGTTTTTGTCTGTAGTGTCTCTTCTGGCTTTATTGATTTCTTCCCGAATGGCAATTTCGTGTTGAGTAATACTTCCGTTGAGACGTTTCAATAGTTCCTGCTCGGAGGTAGTGTACTTGAAACGTTCTTTGTCTCTCAATGCATGAACGCGTTTGATCTCACTTCTGATGCGAGATATTTCAGTGCTTAAACGATTTTTCTCTTCTTCGCAGTCGGCGGTAAGACGTTTGGTATAAGCGTTCTGAGATTTAATTCTAATCATAGTAGTGTTTTGAATGTTTACCTCTGCCTCAAGATCGGAGAGTTTTTTAATCTGAGATTTTTTATCTTCTCTCAGTTGCGTCTTTAACTGGAATGAACTTTCCAAACTGAAAAAATAATTTACGGGAAAATTTTTTTACAAACTCACTTCTTCCTGGCAGTAATGACTTCAGGTTCCAGTTTTCGAATACTTTGTTCAGCAGTAGAAATTTTTGCTTTGTTTTCTTTCAAAAGTATGAACAAAGACTAAGAGTAAAATTTGTTTGATTTTCCTGACATTGTAACTTACATTTTTCTCTGATTCGGAGTACACACCAATACGGTCAGCATGAATATGCGCAGCTTGGCGGAAAACGCCGATATCATTCTCCAAGACCCGATTTTGGGCTTCAAGAAATCTAACCTGGAACGAATGCATATGGAAAAATACATGAAAAGATCAATATTTTGAATAACTTACTTTCTCCACGTATCTAGCCAACCGATTGTTCAAATCTGCAATCTCGACTTTCTCTCTATCACGATTGTCTCGAATGATTGCAGCAGCATTCTGAGCATACGCCGAAAGGGCACCACTTGTGGTTACTCCGGTCGGAAGGTTTGTTCTACCACTCTCAATAATTCGTGCAAGTGCTGGATGGTTAGTCAAACGTGCTGGATTCAGCGGGTCAGTCATAGTTATTATCTGAAAACAAAAGCGTAAGTTAAGAGTCGACTAGTACATCGCGGGAGAAAGAAAAGGGAATGATAATAATTGCAAGCAAAATAGACACTATACAGTAATAAATTGGGCGTTTGGAATAAAACACGACACCAAAAATGTGTAAATAAGAATGTAATGGGCGGCGTTATCAACTGTTCACTTTTTCTCTTATCATGTTTATTAGGACTCACTTCGATGCTTGTTCATTGGAATCTTACCAGCGTCGAGTAATGTTGCCATTGAATCATGATTTGAACTTTTAACAAAAAACTGAAAATGTTTGAAACGTGAATCATACAAACTTCTGAATAGTGTGGGTTAAGAACAGTATTAAAAATGAAAACTGAATTAAAATTGCAGTTTCCATATATTTTCAATACAATATTTTTCAAGTTTCCTTATTTTCGAAGACTCCAGGTTGAGTGGCCATCGACATTTAACTTTTTATCTTTAGAAAAACTGATAAATTGAATGTTTCTGCAGTGAAAAACATTTAATATTCAAAAGGATGAATATTTTCATTTTAATCTTTCACAGGATATAGAATACATCATAAGAAAAACAAATGTGAGAGGATAAACTAGAATTATGGGATGCTCTGCAAAGCTATAATGAATGTTTTTATTGTTTCACTGAGGAGAAGGGATGACGGTGTTTTAAAAATCGAATCGGTTGGTACCAGTGACAGCGACTAGTTTGAACATTAATATGCGGAGCAATAATCGGAAACAGCTGTAAAATAGTGAGAAATGACTACAGAGTGTGCTTAAGATTTAGACCAACATTACAAAAAAACTACTGATTTTAAAGCTATCAATATAAGAAGAATCATAATGTAGTTAATCGGAATCATCGTCGTGAACTTCAACATTGAGACTTGCAAATTCTTTATTTTGTTTTGCAAGATAATGACTGTTGAGATCGTATGTAACAGCATCCATGAACTTGTATGCTCTAAAATACACAACTAAGTTATTGGTTAAGGAAGAATAATGACGTACCCATGAATTCTGAGTTCTACCCATACTGGTGTTTCTGCGATTGTTGCCCGAGGATAATCTTTTCCAAATCCTTTACAAAATGATGCTCTCACGAAGCAGTATTTGCTGATGTCATCTTGTAAAGTTTGTGCTTCCTGGAAAACTAATTGTTTTGAAACCCATTTTTGATTTCAAGTTCTTACTTTTTTGATATCCTGTATGCTGAGCTCTCGAAAAACGTGATTCATCGAGGTCACTGCACCTTTAATGTAGCTTTGAGCAAAATATTTTGAGAACAGTTTATCTCTGATGAGTTCTTTCGTGCGCTTCAATCCGAACACCTAAATAGGAACACCATTAAGGCATGATACGACTAAATTGAAATTACCTTTAGTTTTGAGTTTCCGTAAAGTTTGTGAGTTTTATCGTTCTGCAGCCCAATCGACTGATCATCTAGATAACCAGAGGTGATAAAGACAGGGAAAGTCATAAAGTTTGTGAGCCAGACACTACCGTCTTCTTTATACGAAAACTTAATTCCATCAACGATTGCTTTCCTGAAATTGCATATTTTATAGATGTTGAGGATTGTATTTTTTCCACAAACAACTTACCGGACTTTGTATGCTGCGGTCGATCTGTATGGATTTTCGCAAAGTCCCAAACTGAAGCGGGCGTCAGAAATCAAAAAGCCTCCATCCACAATTATAGTTCCTCGATCAAGTGCTTTCATTTCGGAAATTTTGGAGTCCTCCTCGTAATAAGTGAGTGCGCCCCAAGGTGAGCATTTACCGATTACGGACGGTGGTTCATCTCCGTTCATATTAATAGTCGCAGTAGAAACGCTGGGAAGTAGTTTTAATATACAAAACATTTTCAGAAAACTCACTTCATAAGGAAATTAGCCATATCCGGATATGCACAATCTCTAGTCCATGGACCTGAGTAGAAGCGCCCAGGAAGAGGTTTTCGTTTAGTTTGCTTGACTCCAAGCAAAGTCGTATTTGGTGTCTGAACAGTACACATCAGTAAACCGTTTTGTATTTAAAAAATACATATCTGCAACCAAATAAACTAACCTCAGTAAAGTCAGCCACAGTAACTGTAATAGTATCAGGGTCGATAAGAACATCGGGTTCGGAATCATCTGCCGCAAAGAAACGCTCACCAAATTCCTGTGGAATGTTCAATTGAATATAAATCATAAACGTACTTATTTACTTGTTTACAGGCTCTGCGGAACTCGGCAATCGTAATCCTAGAATCGCGTACTTGTTGTGCTGAAATTGAAACCGTATGAAATATATTTATATTGCGTGAAAATCATTTTAGAAAGGGTCAGAAAATCGAAAAACTGATTCTCTTCAGTTTAGATGTTCTGAGTCTCTAACTCACCTGGCTGTACACTGAGTGGCTCTTGCTTAACCTCTTGCTTGACCTCTTGTTTAATCTCTTGCTTAGGCTGCAGCCCTGATCCCATCTGGAAGTTTTCATATGGCTGCTCCACCTTATACTGTTGTGTTTGTTGCCGACTAGAACTTGGTATCGCTTCAGGTGGTGTTGCGGGAGGTTGGAACGGAAAGGGCTCAGGTGTCATGTAGGATGGATGATAATTGGGAAAGTTGTACATTTGGATTCCTTGAAGGGTCTGATCGAAATAGCCAGGATTGAAGTCAGAGAAAGGGTTTGATGGGCCCATTGCAAAGTACGGGTTTGTTGCGGACGTAGAGCCATCTAATGCAGAAGCCATGGCTTGAGAAAAATCGAAACCAAAATCAGTCTCTAACGGAGTCTGATGTGGAAACGCCGGAAGTTGATTCTGTGGTTGCATCTGACTAGCCGTGACATTTAAACTATAACCATCAAGTTGTGCACTTGTCCCAACTGCATATGAATCTGGTTGTGTGTATCCAAAACTAGTAGTCATGTTTGTAGGTGCCGAAGAACCTCCAAGGTTATTTGATGTCATCGGATTTGTGAAGCTGTGTGCCGGGAATGGGGGTTGAGTTGAATGTTGTGGAACTGAATACGGCGACATCTGAAGACCCTGCATGGTCTGTTGATGCATATTTCCTTGCTGAATTGGTGGAAATTGTGGAACAGGATGAGGCATCATCTGATGTTGTGATTGATGCGGTGACATCTGGTGGACCGTCATCGGCTGTTGAGGCATTTGTTTTTGAGACATTGGATTAAGTGACATCGGTGGCAATGAATGAAGGGGCGGAATGGAATGGTGCTGCGGAATGGAATGGTGTTGCGGCACGGAGTGTGGCTGCATCACAGACGGTGGATTTGATGGTCTCGGTTTGAAACGGTAATCATCCATTGACTGATGCCGTGGAGCGTCACCAACAATCATTGTTCCAATAACAATTTCGTAGTGGTAAGGGTTCACACAAACCTGTAAAGACTGTAAATTTCAGTTTGCTAGTTCAGCATTGCCACCAGCATTCAGCAAAAATATTACGTTCAAGCGTATCATTGGGACTAATTTAGGACTAATTATTTTTGGCTAATTGTGGTGCATCATGGATTTGCAAACTTCTATCTTTAAGAACATACCATGTTGTGTAAAAAAAATTATCCTTTAAGGAAATGGTCATGTGTTTCATGAAATAGCAAACGTCATCAAAATAAAATCAGCACACGCACACACGCACAAATAAAAACAACACACGCACAAAAGAAAGAAATATATCAATGTGCTTTTATAAGTTTTTTAAAGAAGCTTTTATAAGCTTTCCAACTAGGAACTACTGGAGGGTACGATGAATTCGAACTTTCCCGAAATCGAACTGTCCCGAAAACGAACTCGTTCGAATTAGAACTGTCCCTTTATCGAACACGTCCAGAATAGAACAAGTACAGAATCGAACCGTTACAGATTCGTTTTTATTTCTCAATTATTTTTGATAACAAATTTTCCTTGTTTTCTTCAGAAAAACTTCTTTTAAAGATTTTTGGATGTTTCGCGGATTGATCTTTTTGTTTTGAGAATAAACAATTCTCACAGAAATGGCTCCCCGTAAAAATAATCCGATTATCCAAGTCTTTCTTTTTTTTAAACATATATTTTCTACTTCTTAAATTGTTTTTCCTCGCTGTATTGAAATAAAAATGTTTTTTTTTTGTAAAAATGTTTTTTTTTCTGAAAAAAAACTTGAAAATTTCAAAGGTGATGCAAGCGCGCTCTGTTGCAAAAAATTCCAATCCGAAACAGTTCGACACCGCAAAGTTCGAGTTGAAACAGTTCGATTCTGTTCTTGTTCTGTTCTGGGCGTGTTTGGAAAAGGGACAGTTCTAATTCGAACGAGTTCGTTTTCGGGACAGTTCGATTTCGTGAGAGTTCGAACTCATTGTACTCTCAACTACTGAAAACTAATAAACATGCAACCATAAAGAGCAAATGAAATTCACTGAACATTAGTTAGTTGCTTAGTAAACTCAAACCAAAATCTCAACGCGGTTAGATTTGTTGATTACGTCGAAAATCAACTCACTTCACTCACCGCATCAGTTTTCATTTCAAACGCGTGCTTGCAATGATCAACATGACGCGTCTCATTTTTGGACATCTCCGAGTAACGCCATAATTTTCCATAGACCACATGGGGGAATCCTTTTTTGCCGTGAACTTGTAATCTACCGTCCAATGTTCTTGGAATCGTGATGCACCCTTGATATTTAGCTCCTTTTGTGTTCACAACGTCGATCAGATTTTGAAGATCGTGCTTCCTATCTTTCAGCTTCTTCACCAACGACTCACATGCCTGAAGAATGAGATTTTTCAAGACAAAGTTTCCCTTCTTGAATACCTTTTGATCAAACTCTCTATCCGGAGTAGACTTGATCAAATTGAGAGACAGACGATTACGTTTGGTGCGATATGAATTAAGCTGATTAAGTTCCGACTCTTTGAGCTGAAACAAATGTTACTAGGTAATAAAACGCGAACGTTGCCGAACCGTTCGATGATACATCAAAAACTCGACAATTTTGTTGGGCGGAGCACTTGCATCTTGCAGTTCTACCCTTCTTCGGAACTCGTCGGGGTTGTTTTTCCCGTGCTTCAATACATCCAAATCGTATTCCGTCATTATTGTGTTTTTGACATCGACTGAAAATAATACGCTTGATGATTCGGATTTTTTTTTCAGTGACAACTCAAAAATTTTCACCTTTAAAAACTTCATAATTTTTTGAAGCTTTGATTTCACATTCTGGAAGCTTAAAAGATTTTTGGAATGGCTTTCCTACCGAAATCTTCATTCCAAAAAGACTCGAAGTTTTCGGAATTCACGGATATCCGTTCCTTACACCTTTGAGCTTTTTCATTGCTGAATACTTTGTAAAACTTACACAAAACGGGTTCCGGATAGGTCACTCCAGCTTCTGGATCGTCATCCTGGCTATGTGGATCAAGAACCGGGATCAATTCTAATTTGATGTTAGCACGATGAACAGTCTTTCCAGAAGTACTCGCAGGCGACATCATAGGAGTTTGATCATCAATAACTGTAATAGGAAACTATCACTAAAATTCAAACTGCTATCTATTTAGTTGGAATACAATGCTCTCTATCGAGTTGTGCGCAATCGAGAAATATTAGTCTTATCAGTGAAGGCTAACTGTTAGAATTTTAGAAGGTGACTTCCCTATTGAATTATTTTTCTTCTGTTTATGTATCGTTTAGTAGAGTTTTTTCTAAATTTTTTAATTAACGTAATGCGTTATAGTTAATCGGTAATTAATCGTATAGTGTTTACGCGTTTGTGCATATGAATTTATGCACCTAGAAATGATTGAATTTGGAATATAATTACTGTATTGAAAAAAACAGGTCGGTTAGGGTTATTTTTTGTACCTTCAACTTTTGGAGTGATGAGTTTGAAAGGAACGTTTCTGCTTTCAAGCGGAGAATCGTTCTCAGAACTTCCCAGCAATTTGGTGATATCAGAAGCTGTAGAAAAATTTAGATCAAATTCAATTTCATACTTAACCACAAAACAGAAAATTGTTCTAACCACTGGACTTTCTACACTGATCACTACTACCACCAACAAAGGGACTACATTCAACCAAACATATTCAAACTTACTGAGTTGTGGAGTGAGAAGAAGACCAGGCATATTGAAAGTCACATTATGACCTTGAAGGCTCCTTTCATATGCCTCGATATCGGGAATGTCTTCCAGCCCGCTTGGATTCCCAGACAATCTGGCTCCAAACGCGGGACCAGCATTTGAAGTGCTGGTCTCCGGTTGGCCGAATGTGTATGGTAGTGAAACCGGAGTGTTACGAAAGCCTGAAAATATGGTTTTTAAAAGCAATACTAGCTTTATGATCAGTAAAAAAATTTCGGAATTTTTTAAACTTAAGACTTCTTTTCACCTAATACAGAAAATGTCTGGAGCTCTTGGTCAGAGATCTGAATATATTTTCAGTTGATGATTTGCAGCACATACCTGCCAAATTTAGATGATGGTCATCCATTACCAGTACCAGTTCCTCTTAGTCAATTCGGTTGATCTGAAAAAGTATTGATACAATCCAAATGCAAGACTGCAAAACTGTCACGGTTTTGAGAAGGAAAGGGGAGAACCTTTCGGTAGTGAGTAACATGATACATCGACCCGTTTACAATAAAATCTACAAAAACTGTTCCATAAAAAGCAAAATTTTTTGTCAACATTTTCCGCATTTGTTTGCAGAACAAATAGTTGATACTGTATCTTTTCAAATTGTATTTTTAATTTTTCATGGAAAACATTCTGATTGTTTGAACGATGGACTTGAAATCAGAGCTTAAAATCAACTTATTCATAATAGAATATTCTAGTTTCAAAACGGTGAAGAGCATTCATAAAGTATCAAGATAATTTAAAATTAAAAAAAAAATCTCACAGATACTGAGGTAATGAGGAAAAAACATATTCGTGGCAGAATGATGTTTATCTGAACCACCTCACATTATTCTCTCTCATTCTCTTTCTGTTTTGCTACTTCTCTCTGCGCGCTCAGCTTGTGTGGTTCTCTTACTCGAAAACCGCGCACGTGTGCAGAAGCCTCTTGCTTCCTCTCGCTCTCTCCCTGATATATGCGAATAGGTAGCATAGCTTTGAAGAGAATCGATAGGCACAGCAAAGTACAAACACATCTAGGTTAAGACAGTGGCCGCACAAAAGAGTAAAAAGGGGCGGAGCGACATCCTCATCTGATTAGATTCCAGCTGTAAAGAGACGCAGTCAATTTACGGGAAAGAAATATGATAAAATCTGATACTTTTACAAGGACACTAAATTATTCGGAGCAGCCTTCGGTCACTTAATGAGAGAAGCTCGCTGAAAATGGAGATGTGAAATGGTGACTGAGCGTTTCAGAACACATGATGGGACCGGTAAGGCCAAAAAAGATCAACAAATAATAATAACAGTATCATGATTTGCTTCAAATTTATTTTTTCAACAAAGAGGAACATCCGAGTACTATAGAACTCGGCGAGTTCTACAAGAAGAGCAAAATGTTTTAGAACTTCTAACTGTATAAAAAAAGTTTGTTTTCTCGTGGAATAATTTCGCTTAAAACAAATCCGGACGTTTTACTGATTTTAGTCCGATTCCAAGTCTCCGGTGAAGCGCTTGAAATATTTGAAATAAGTGAGATTTCATTTGAGAAATATTAACAACTTTTTTATAAATTTCTTTTCCCTTTTTCGAACACTCAGTTCAGTAATCGTATGATTAAATGATAAAGTCTTCCTTATCACTAAAGAGTGGTGCCTCGCTGTTATTCATCGCGAAAAATATCATAATGAGTTGATTGGAACAAGAATCGCAATTTACAGTAACCATATTTCACGACACCAATCACAAACTCAGATTTTTTGAAACGAATTTATGCTTCAATTTTTAATTTAGTTTCATTCTCACGGGATTCTAAGCACAATGGTCACAACTCTAATCGAAACCAACAATTTTGCTGAAAAAATTGATTAGAAACGTTTTGGAAAACTGTAGATTTCTACAGTTTATGTGATTCTTACAAGTCCTCGCCTCCTTTGTTGGCTTAGTCTCATCATGTACATCATGTGTTGCCCTTTATTCAACCTTATTTTGATTGTATGTGTTTTACTCTTCCTAAACATACCTAATTCTCCTTCATTGTGGATGTAGCTGTCAAAGCATCGAACACTGTTAAGAGAGGGCTACAGAGAAGAGGGGGAAAGAGTACTACGAATCCACATCGAAAACAACTCAAACTATCTTCTTCTCTACTACTATTTCTCTAGCACTCTGTTTGTCTGTCAACTATTCTGTGTGCGGGAGAATAGTCTTGTGACTCATACTCTCTATCTAGGCGCTCTTATTACCAGTGGTTGGACGACGACCGAGCGACCGACGAAGACGACGAAAGCGGAGGAAAAAGGATGCCGATCGTAAACACACAAAAGAAGAAGAGGGGGAAAAGAAAATGTGTGCTGTTTGTCAGAGAAGAATACGACTAGATGTGAGGACGAGAAGAAAAGGATGTATTTTGTTAGATGGGTAAAGATGATTACTTGCTGGGAATGTAATTATTGCTTGTATGAGAGAAACACGGATAGAGACTGAAGGTATTGCAATTTACAATTTTTTTTAAATACCTGCACGTGTTCATAACAGATATTGTTGAGTTTATTTGTCGTGAATAGCTGTTTCATTGGCAAGACATTTTATATTGAAAAGCATGTGACTATTACTACAGGTGATCTATAAGCCATGCGTACTTTGTTTTACCTAACAGTAATTTTGAGAGAGAAAAAACTGGAAACTTTGCACAAACCACATGATCTAGAATTTTCTGAGCTCACACTCAGGACATCTTTATCAGAAAGCTGATGAAAACTGAAACTGGAACCTTGAAATACCGGCCAACCCCCTAAGCCCCGCCTGGCAGGTTCGGTAAAATATATGCATTATAAATGTAGTTCACATTCCAATCTGTTTGAAATGTGGGTATACAAAAAATATATTTTTCCTTTTTGTTGTTGGAAAAATACAGCATGGCACGAAAAGCAAAAAAAATTGAAATACAATTGAGAGCTGTAAGCTTTCTATATTTTTCGTATAGCCAGCACACGACTGAGATGAAGTAAAAACAATAATGTTAAAGAAGAAAGCAGCGTCCACAAGATTTTCAGGTCATGCATATGCCTAATTAGTAAAAGGGGGAATCAGACTGACTAATCCATAACGCTGTTGTTACGCAATTCCCTTGTTCCAAGCAACGTGTTCTTGTTCAATGTCACCTGTTTCTGCATAATTGAGATTCGAAGAACATCTGTGTGCCAGACTGGGCATAGAAGTGAATGAAAAAAGAGCTTAGAAAAATAGCAATGGCGAAACAAAAATATTGAAAAAAAACAGCCTATTTAAATACAAGGAATATGTGTAACGTTGGTCCGCATTCTTTGAAAGTTGGCAAGTTATTCTGTTGTCCAAAAGAAAACGAGCGAGATGACCTTTGAGTGGACGGGAAGACGAGTATGAGTACGGTTCTTTTGTATATGTGGGAAGAAAAATTATTCCCAGAATTCAACAAGATATTTCCTATTGTTCAGGTAAAACAGGGTCTTCAGATATAATAAAATAAACACATTCTTTTGTCTTATTTTGAAGTCTATCTTATCCTCATTTTTATCGAGGATTAACCTGCAGTGTTAGTGTTATCTATATGATAACCTGCATTCCAGTTTCAGTTAATAAAAACAATTTGATACAACTGTCCAATGTCTGTATTATTCGTTTAGACAATCCGACTTGCACGAATTAGTGTATCATTTAATAACACTGGAAGTTTGGATTTCAAATTATTTTATTATTTCCTGTATGATTTGTTAACCGATAGAATTCTTGGTCTTTGTTTATTGATTATACAGTGTTTTCTCTCATGCCTAGATTCATTATGTTCCGCCTAATTTTTTCATGAAAACATCAGATCACATATTGTTATCAAAACCCCTACTATACACATTCCCCACGGCGTTTCGCAAATATTCACCTGTCCCGCCCAGCTTTGAGAAAATTGAAAAACCGAGCCTACGTCCAATAGCATGAAAACCTCAAGCAAAAATTAATAATATCTCAGGTGACACAACGTTTTGTCTCCTCAGTACTCTCCTTCTCTTTTCACTGCCGATCGCCATAGCAACCCCGCATCGGCTCTGAAAACCAAACACACGCCAAATATCAGGCGTGACTTCCTTTCTAATCAATGTTTGAAAAAACAAAAGAAGTTACTCTTCCACGAGGAACTATATCACCATGGCCATCCAACCTGGCAGCATGTTGGTTGGACACCAGAAACATTACATATGTTGCAGTTATTCAAGCGAACAATGTAAGTTGTCTTTCAGAAAAAAAAATTAATTCCGAAAAAGATAATAAGACACATTTATTTTTCAAAATAGTGATTTTTTTGGTTGCCTGCATAGTAAAATATATGTGTTTTTCTAAGCAAGTAAACTATGTCTGTAATATGCTTGATAATTAGGTGCACATCGGCCATTGGGATAACAAAGCGGAGACTGAAGTTACTTGGGAAACAATACAAACTTCCGAACCGGCCAGCTCTAGCGATAAGCTTGTTGATGTGACAACGGTAAATAGCATTTTCTTGTAAGTGTTAGGCAATAGTTCAGATTGGTCTGGTTCATCCGAACGCGCGAAACTTTCCGATTGCTATTGTTGGATCCACTCGTCATATTCATGTTTACGATGTTAAGAAAGTATCTCAAAAACCGCTTTTCTCGCTAACACTTGCCAGCACACTACGGGAATATGCACCTTCCATAGGAAAAGATGTCGGACCTTATAGCCGCGGAGTGTCGTGTAATGATAATGCCATCCTTATTGGTACGATATATAAATTTATAGTCACTTGAGATTATAATTTGTTGTTTTGAAGGAACACACACCGGCGAAATTGTGGTTATTATGTGCAATGGAGACTCCAATTTCACGAGCCGGAAAAATTTGAAGGTGTTATTGTTTTTCACATAGCTATGAGTTTTTGTAGTAACATTTTCCGCATTTGTATCCAAAAAACAAGTGAGAAACGATCCTCACGAGTCTCTTACAGGAACACAAATCCGCGGTCACTGATATTGCCACGTGTCGATATGATGAAATAACAGTGAGTGCGGATTCAACCGGAGAGTTGATCATTTGGCAGAAACCGGTGAAAGGAGTCAATTCTAGAGTGCTCACAAAGTTAGAATTTCAATTTAGCAATAAACGTGACAACTATTTTATTAGACAACCCATAAACGTTATCAACGTCCTCAGAAAGCAAGTTATTGTTGGCACCCTGAGAGGTCTTGTGCAGTACTATTCAGTTACTACAGGTGATTTGATGTGTGAGGTAAACACAATCATAGTTCAAACTAGCTTCACAAATGTGTTACTCGCAGATTAATGCTCACTCGAGACCAGTGAACAGCGTTTCCGTTGCTCCAGAAAGCGCGTATGTAATGACATCTTCTGAAGATGGCACTTTTATTGTGTCCAAACTTCACACACGAAAGCCACATGCGTATCAGGTGATTGGGGAAGACTATAACTTCAAGCAAATCATAACATCATTTCAGGTGGAGTACCGTTTTTCCGACAGCGACCCATACAGCATTATCATGGGAGCTCAGTTCACCAATGGTCGTGGAAGTGCCATTGCTGTTGCCACATTCGACAGTTCCGAGATTATCATGTACAAAATAATCAAGAAATCATCAGCTGCTGCCGCTTCCTCTTGAACTCTTTTCAGTTTTTTGAGTTTCGATTTTATTTTATTTCACATGCACAACTTCAAACATGGATACCTGCTTTTGATTTCAGAAATTTCTTCTAATATATTTTTTCAATCTTCATTATTTATTTCAATTCCCAATTCATTTATTCGCAACACTCCTTCTTTTTGTTCTGATGACTACTCTACCAACTTTGCTTTTTTCATTGCTGTGATGAACTTTTACTGAATGAACGATGAACCTGCATTTTTGAAAGTGAAATTGAAACTGTTCCAGTGTAAAATTATCCTGACAATGAAATCGAAGTTTCATTATTCTTCCTAAAGGCTGATGGTTATCGTTGCCAACAGTGAATGTTTCCTGAAACACTGGGTGTTTGTCATACTACCTTCTTTTATGCAGTCTCCTTCTTCTTCTTTTCCCTTTAAAACGCCATTTTATTGATTTTGCTGCCAAAACCTCTCTTAGCCAACATAAAATATGTCAAAATTATGTTATGGGATAAAAAATCCGACACCAAATTGATAAAAATCAACAGTTTCCTATTTACAATGTCGAAATAACGCGAAAAACAAGTTAACAACACGATACGCAGTTGGTGGCCTAGAAACCTTCTCGCGTCCCTGCTCTCTCTTCCGCCGTCGCTCGCCTCGCCGAACAAAACGTGGATTCTGTTTTATCGTATTCATCTCATTTGCTTATTGCGCCTTTCCAATATTTTCCAGGATTTCCCTAAGAAAACAGACATATCCTCTTAAATAATCGTTTTAAATTCCAGATGAATGTCAACTGGAAAGAGGCAATACTTCAAGCGCAGAAAAAAATCGATCAAGTGCTAGACATTCGGCCTGAAACATTGGAGGATGATAAGTTGGAAACGGAAAAACCGGAAGAATTGAGCAATGAAGACTGTTCGTCTCCTTCGCAAAGCTCTGATCAGCTGGTAGATGATATTGTTATGTTAGAGCCAGTTTTGCCACGTGAGTTGTTGGATTTTTATGTGAAACCGTATCATTTTCAGCTTTTCTAAATAATCGATACATCGGGGATGATATTCAAACGATTATTTCATCTGATATTGAGCACTTGACTAGGTTAGTTATGTTTAATTAAATTTGCTCAATAAATTCAATTTTGAGAACTTTAAAAATGTTAATCTTTTTATAGAGCTTCGTCACGAACGGTGTCTCCGGAGCGGTTGAAACTACCATCAGAATTAGAGAGGGTAAGTTAAAGATATGGGAATCAGAAACTAATTATTTCAGGACATTTCGTCTCATCCAGCGAGTCCGGTACACACATCTGCTGCTAATTTAGAAGTGACATTACCGAATCCTGAGGACATCTTGAACCAAGCAATCTATGGTCTCCGAAGAGAATTAACAGAGTACAAAAAAGCCAATCAAATTTTGCAAGTCAGCCATGCTAACCTGGAACGAGAGCTGGAAGAGAATCGATTCACAATGAATGAGAAGCTTGTGAATATGCTGAATGAAGGTTCTATTTAGTTATTCCAATTTTTTATCAGTCATTGATTTCAGAAAGAGAAAACTCAAACCAGGAAATTTCACAGTTGAAACTCACATGTTCGCAAGCCATTGCAGAAAAATTGGAGATGGAAGAGAAATATCGAATAGTTGAGACTCAAGTAGCAGCAACAAAAAAATCTCTGAATTATCTTAAAAACCAGGTATGATTGGAGAAGAAATATGTTTTAAATTTTGAAGATCATCGGTTTTAGATGTCACACATTAAAAGAAATGTGACAGAATCAGGAAATTCGTTTGCATCCGATTTCGAATCGTTTGGAGCAGAAATTCGCCGCACATTGAACAACCAAGTGAAGCGGAAGAAAAGCGAATATCTCATGAACCAAGTTGCAAAGCACTCTTGTAACTGTGCAAAAGTAAATCAAGAAGATTCGAATACTCATATAAAGCAAGACGGGTCATCACAAACAGATTGGGAATACCACGGGAACCAAGTAGACTTTTACAAAAAAGAAAAATGCCTAATTGATTATTCTTCAGGACACTCACGAACTGAAGGAGAAGTCGAAGCAGACGGAAAACAGAAACAGTGGGAATGTGACTGATCTCCTTCAAATAATTGAGCAATTAGAAGTAGAGAAAAGGCAATTGCTTGCCCAAAAAAGAAGTGACAAGTACGCAATAGAGGTGAGAGTGCCATCTTTCAATGGAACTAATTCATTCAACAACAGAAGTGAAGCCATAACTGCCCAAAGAAATATTTTGAATAAAAGTTTTAGAAAATTTTTCTTACAGAAACTCAACGAGCAGCTGAATGAGACGCTGATAATGCACGGCGAAAAAATCGAACAGCTCGATGAAGTCATTGTCGATAACGAAGAATTGAAAAGCATTCTGAAACAACAAGCACTTGCTCTTACCATGTAAACATATATAATTTGATTTCTTCCAAATAGTGGCTACTTTTGAGTCATTCCGTGTGATTGTATAGTGTAATTTCGAATTTTTGATTGTATTCATTCATTTGCGATTATGATTAGATGAATAAAAATACTAACTTGTTTCGGAAAAGTGCTGATTAAATGAGTTGTTTCGACAGAGATTTAAAATTTAACATGGAATTAATGGACAGAAAAGAAAAAAAATGAGTTGGTTTCAAAAATTAAATTAATCTGAACTTGGTATCGATGGTCATAGTTGTTTTGGTTTCTCAGTTGTTTTCGGAGTGGTCCGATTGAAGAGAAGAGCGGCTCCGTGATGGCGACAAGCCCTGCTCATCGAGATGCTTCCTTGTCAAAAAGCCACTGAAAAAATGTGATGCATTCTCCCCAAAATATACTCAATACTCTCTAATTTGGATATGACTACTCACCGGATGTGGGCTTGAATTTTGGTGGCTGCCTCAGTGTCTTCCTTCTTCATTTTGTCGACGTGTTTACGAGTCAGAAATCCGCGGATTTCAGACTGAATCTTAGTGGCCGCTCTATCTTCTGGAGTATCCATCTCAATAGAATAACCTCCAACCGAATGACGCCTGAGAATGCTTTGAAGTTTTTGGACACAAAGATCTACTTACTTCTGATCTTTCTTATTGTCAGCAGAACCGAGTTTTTCTGACGAAGTAGTTCTGGCACTCATTCCGTACTTTTCAGGGTGAGCGCGCACCTTAAACAATATTGTGTCGAATGTAATTCGGTTTGTGAAGTAAGCGAACTTACCAAGTGACCCTTAAATGCAGCTTGGATTTTCGTGGCAGCACTGTCCATGGGACTAGCTGGACGCTCCATTTCGAGGAACTACAAATATCACTAAATAGAAATTTTCAGACAGAGAAAGGGAAAAACTAGGAAATAACAAATGTCTCGGAAAACAAGATGGGAAGCACGAAAAAAATTTGAACCACGAGGATAATATTTGGGAAGAAGGAACATGAGCAGCTTATGTCTAAAATTTTCGTACATTAACAAGAATTATTTACCTTTTTCTGGAGATCTGCTCGGAAGACCTCGTAAGCAGCTGGGTCCTTCAAGATGTTTCTGTTCTCTGCAAGAATAAAGTGGGTCATTTCCAAAATTTCTGACTGTAATTGCATACGCTCTTGCCCGGTGAAATGTTGAACATAAGCTATCAAGTTACACGAAGTTTTGTTTTCTTTTTTAAAGAAGCTAGAAATGTGTGTAGAAGCTTGTAATTGAGAAACACCTGTTTTTCTTGAATCTGCCTACCTCTGCGATGCTTCAGATACTCGTCAAAAAACATGTGACCAAATTCAGCTACATCTGCCGGCTGAGTACGAAGAACCTCACGCGCTAATGCCTCCAGAATTGGCCGAAGGTCGTGAGGAACGAAGCACTTGTTTCGAGGATCCATCGGCTTTAAAAATCATATCATGTAACAGTTTTTAAAACAAAAGACAGTGAGAAACAGCGGGACAAAGAATAACATTTAATGGGAAAAGTAGGTATTGAAAATGTAAAATGTTCCTAGCTGATAATCATTGAACACACACTGAAAACTCTCACGAAAAAATGAAACATAAATAAAAGGATTACCGTAAAGCCTGTATTAGAAGGTCCGGGGGGCACTTCAATTATAGGAGCTCTTCTATTTCAGGGGATCCTTTGATACAGGTTTAACGGTACATGTTTTTTGAACCACTAGAGAAATCACATTCAGACAAGAAAGTAGCATGTTTTTTTACTCGCAGATGAAACATTCCAGGCTTCATTAAAAAAATGTTAAAAACTAACACTACAAGAATTTTATGTCATGAAATCGGTTTCCTGTGAAAATAAAACATCTTATTATTGTAGTGATTTTTAAAATACTACTGCTTTCTAAAATAAAAATTTGAGACGGATAACTTGACGCTAGGAGTTGGCTACTAACTGCTATACAAATTCAATGTGAATGCGATGAAATAAGGGTGCCGTGTGAGGTAGCGGGAAAAAAAAGGCGGTTTGAGCAGAGAGACGCTGAGGGAAATATATCGGCAAGAAATGTTGCTCTCGTTCTCACACGATCGAGGCTCTTCTCCGTTTCTGCCCGCCAATTTCTTCTCGTCGGACTCCATTGACTTTCTCTTTTGCCTCCTGCTTGGCTTCTTCGGCTTCTTCTTCTTCCTTCCTTCCTTCGCGTTCTCTCTCTCTCTCTCTCTCTCTCTCTCTCTCTCTCTCTCTCTCTCTCTCTCTTTCTCTCTCTCTTTGCCGTTTTATCGAAGAAAGCGCAAGAATCCTTCGGAGCAACCAAGCGACCTCATATGATTTCGATTTGAAATGGGAAAGCAGGAGGAAAGCCAGGAAGGGCATAAGAAAAAGAGGAGGACGTTTGAATAAATTCATATGGCTCAATAATTTTCCCGGAAGTATACGGAAACGTCTTACGTCAATTTAAGAAAAAATAGAGATGAGGCGATGGAAAAAAAAGCGAAGAGATATGAGAACAAATGTTTGAGTAGAATGGGAAACAACGGAGAGCGAGAGAATTAGGACAAAAAGATAAGCTTGCTATCAAAACTCTCATATTTCGAAAACTTCTTTTTTTTGAATTTCGGAGACTTGAGAAAAACACAAATAATGTAGGGGCAGAAAATTTATTTTTTCCGCCTATCCTCACAATGCACAGGCTCAATTATTCTCCAACTAACTCAATTTCAGTTTGCTGGACCCGCAATATTTCTCCACACAAATTTTCAATGCTTGTTTATCGGAATGCCAATTCTTTCCTCAATCTCGTTATTAATTTATGTCGCGAATTTTCACGCAATGTGCTTGAATATCTTACTCAAATATGAACATTTATTAAGTAAGAAATAATTTTTCAACACTGTTTTTTAAACTAGCCAACACGTTATTAATGTTGTTAAAACGACCCGAATATTTAACAACGTCATTCACAATAAACGATTTTCTCTGAAGATATGCAGTTGTTTGTGCTCACATGGTGCACGACCACAATGCGCTCAAACAATTATTTCTCGGACGATTCGTCGATCTTCGTTGCTGTCACTGTTGTCTAACGTTTCACTGGTTCCAAAACAGGATATAGAAGAGTCTAAAAACCACAAGTTAAACAGAAAATGTCTTTAAAATCTTACTTTTGAGTACGTCTGTATTTTCTTGAAGATAACAATCATTAGACACATCATACTCCATATTTGATCCCGGTTTGCCCGGTTTTTGTGAATTTTCAAGACTGAGATGATGGCTGGAACGTTTAAATGAATTTTTAACAAACATTGTGTACCCTACTTCAAAGAATTCGTTCCGTTTTCCGTTATCATGTAAGTGGAATTTTTTGTTTCCTCATAGTTGGCTGGTTTTTTCAACTCATCACCAGGCAACGAAGTAAGAACGATGGGTCTGTAAACTGGTTTTTTCTCAAATGCTAGATGAACTGAAAAGTTACGATAGCTTTGAAGTTTTGGGACTTGATCTTGTTTTGCAGCACACGAGGAAAAACACAATGACAGCAAGACTGATGAAAACGAAAAACACGAATGGAATGAAAACGTTAGTTTTCCAAGCTGATCCGGAGCCACTTGCTTAAATAAAAGGTTTCTTGAGTTGTTTGAGGTTATGTGCTTACAAATAGTTTTTGAAACAGGTGAACACTTGAGACCATTGGCGGTTGTGCAAAATCTCGCCTTATATTCTCTTCCAGACACGATATTTAGAATGGGGTTGCTCGAGGTATGGCAAATGCTGGTTCTCCAGATTCCATCAACAAACACGTATAGCAATGTGCAAGCATCGGATGGGAGTTTTGGCTGAAGTTTTGAAAATACAGTTGTTGACCACTCAAGTAGTGATTCGAAATTTTCTAATCAGAAAATAATAGTTTCTAAGTGGATGCCAGTGAGATTAATTTTCTAATTCGCGGCTTAACACATCTTTACAGTAAGAAGTATGTCTCTATGAAGAAATATATATTCTTGTCAGTTTCGCTTCATTTCATGACTTCGTGATTTTCAGTCACCCTTGTCAGATGTTTTCATTTACCAACCTCGACGTCAATTTTCTGTTCCCCAGAATCCAGAATAAGACGATGGGAGACATCATGTTTGGATCCTCAACTACGTCTTCAGTGGAAGCAATTAGAACTGGTGTGAATTCCGACTGTCCCTTCTCGCTAACAGCTTGAACACGCAAATTGTAAGTGGATAATGGGGTAAGTCCTGTGAAGTTGAAGACTGTCTTCGAAACAAGCGCGCCGTCAATCTAAAAATGGTGAGACTAGATCTTCGGTGTCTTCAGAATTTAAATATTACCTCATACTCTTGCTGCACCGCATGAATATCTAACCGAGAGACCGGTGCATTGTCATCGATTTCTCCAGAGTAGGGGTCAATTTTTCTGCTTTCCAAAACATACGACTGATTGAAACCTCCGTCAAATTGTGGTACCCAGCCGATCAAAACAGAGTTTGATGTTGCGGAAAGCTTCTGAAGATCTAATGGAAGTGCAGGAGGACTAGTCCTACGAAGTTCAATGACAACATCGTCTCCCCCATTTCCATTGGTTGCTTGGCACACATACTCTCCATAGTCGGACTCTTGTACACTTTCAATTTGGAGCATTTGTTCGTAATCATCTGGTTTTTGGAATGTGCTAACAGTATGAAAAGATAGCCTATCGTTTTCAAAAATTTCGGAGTCCTTAAACATCCAATGAAATTCTGGTTCTGGTCTTGCAGATACTTTGCATCTCAGAATCGCTTGTGAGCCAATATCCGCAGCCGCCAGGGATTTTTCAGGGAATCTGCGATTCAGGATAACTGGCTTATGAAGAATTCTGATGATGCTCCATGAGTTACTGTCCTTGTCATCTCTGTCAGATCCATTGTCAGCTACGCATGTGAAATTTCCTTTGTCTGACCACTTGAGCGGTCTCGAAAATGTGAGAGTTGACGTTGCAGTTTGAGTGCAAAAATCTTCTGGTAAGCATTTTGACTCAGTTGTCGCAGCAGATTTATAATAATTTTGCTTGATTGGAACTCCATCTTTCAACCAAGAAATTACTGGAGTTGGGTATCCTTGAGCCTCACACACCAACATTTTTCCTTGCTCGCCCGCAGAGAAAATTCTTTCAGTAGCGAGCGGACTAGATATTCTTGCATGCTCGATGACCTGTATTACTCACTTTGATTTCCGAAAACAGTTTTTTAAACATACCGTAATCATTATTATTGCTGGTTTTCCTTCTCCAAGATCATTATACGCTTTGCAGGAATAAACACCATTGTCAGACAGCTGAGCATTTCTGACTTCAAATGATTTATCGTTGTGACCTTCCAAACCGAAAATTCCACCAGATGATGGTGAAGCCCACTGAAATTTTCTCATTTGAATAGCAATTGTTAACACTAAACAAACCGTATATGATGAAGATGGGTTTCCCGCATCTTCTGCTTGACATATTAACTTTATTGTCTCGCCAACGTCCACACTCTGTCGAGAGCTGACAATCTGAGCTTGACCTGGTTTCCTCTTCACATCTACCAAAGTGGTGCCGGTTCCCATTCTCTGTTGTGATCCTGACTGTCCGTAAACTGTTAGAAAGTTTGTTGCCATACATGTATAATTTCCACTTTGAGATCTAAGAATGGAAATATGAAAGATTGAAAAATTATCTCACTTTGAAATTTTTTGAAAAATTATCTCACTTTGAAATTCCGTTGAGTGTAAGTCTTGAGCCGTTTTGCTTGAAACCATTTGGCCCAATCCATTTGATGTCAATCACATCTGGCACTGCACTGATTTCACATTGGACATCCACGTCTTCCATTTCGTTTGGACTGACAAATGGCTGAAAACATTTTGATCACAAATGGAAAATGTTTACAGTACTTACAGGTACAGTAATTTTTGGAGTATGCTGCACAACCAACTTCAACAAAGACGAACCTTCTCCAAGTTCATTGGTACCGCGGCATTCGAAGTCGCCATCCATTGAACGGTTTACATAAATTGGCCACACTTTACCTTGATATCTGTCACCAGATGAGATATGTTTCCATTCGTAACTATGGGCTGGTGGATTCGCAGCAGCGTTACAGGTCAAATTGACCAGTTCTCCTTCTTCTACTGACAAATGTGTGAGATTTTCCGTCGGTGTCACAAAAACAATCGGTTTGTAGAGAACGTTCAATTGAGAACTGCGGACTTGTTTTGTTTCTCCAGCGAGCATTGCTCTATTGGTGACATCGCATTGCACAGATTTTCCATCGTCTCTTGAAAACACTCGGAAGCTGAAAAGAGACAGAATAATGGTCAGAACGTGACATGAAAAACCATACTGTAGCAAGCTCTCTGTTGCTCCATCCCGATGTTGAGTTGTGAACAATGTTGAACTGGCGATAGTTTCGTTTGGCAGGGTCCAACTAAAATTTCATAATATTACAACGAATATTAAAATTGAAAAATTACGTAAAGGTAGGTTGAGGGCTCCCACCAACAGAAACACATTTGGCCGTCAAAAAGTCTCCTTCAATTACGCTCTCCACAGGCGTAGTGCTTATAATTGGGTCGCCAGGTGGAACTGAAATATGTGCTCAATTATGTGAGTAGCAATAAAACATGACACTGGCAGCAAATTTGAACGAAATTTGTTGGCGAAGATAAATGTTCAAATTTTAAAGAAGCACATACCGAGCACGACTATGGTAGCTAATGCCGAATATTGCATATCCGAGTCATCTGTAGCAATGACGTTACAATGATAGGTTCCTTCCACACTATTCTTTTCCACTTCACTGATTCGAAGGCTGTAGTTTCCTGTCGCAGCATCGTTCTCCAGAACAAACTTCGAGTGCTTTTTTATCAGCAATTTGTCATTTTTCGTGATCATTCTGTAAAAAACCATCATACGTATGATTATATTTTCAATGTGGAAGGCAGTCTTTCCATCAATTTGATTTCGATTATGATAACCTAAAATGAACTAAAGTCGTTCCAAAAATGTCTCCGAATAAGATTTTCCAGTTTTTGCAACGATATTACAAACTTTGATATGGATAGAACATTTTGGACATGATCTCACCTCAATTGTCCATTGTTGTAACGAGCCCAGTTGATTTCATATTTTTTCTCATCCAGGTACTCAGGCTTGACAGCACAAGGTATCAGAACTCCCTCACTACCCTCTTTCACATAGTATGGATCTGTGCTGGGCTCCACGAGAAAAACATCAGATGAAACTGAAAATAAAAGTGATAATATTATAGTTCTATTAGTGGAAAAACAAATTTACCTGCTTTGTCAAAGAGCGCTAATAGGAGAAATATTAATAATCTTTTTTCCGTCATCTGGTTGGTAGAATTCCACTGAAAACTTTTTTGATAACACTGGTGAACAATGTTCAGAGCAATATGCGTCAAGAAATTATAGTATGGAGAAGTAGAACTGGAAAGAAATAAAGAGTATCATACCGTTTTCATGATGAACCAGTTCAGATGAATTTTTAACAAAAAAAAAATGAAAAAATGAAAAAATGCACACGGGAAGCATTCGAGTCTTCAAAAGGAAACGTATTACGCCTCAGTGCTCCTATCTCAGTTCCTATATGCGTTTCAACAAATTTTAGTTTTTCAAGAACCACACCTTCATAAGAAAAAACCTAACAAAAAATTAGTGACCAACAAGACAAATCAAGATGCGGAAAAAAAGAAAATAACCGATGAAACTGGTTGAATGTGGGGGTAAAAACGAGGGAAGAAAGATCGTGAAGATTAGTATTTAGTTCGGCAACAGCCCCCGCTACCAAGACTCCTAGCCGTAAGGAGGCAAAAGAAGTCGGGAAATGACACTTTGCGGGAAGTACGGGAAAAGGGAGAATATTTCAGAAAAGAAATAAGAATGAATTCGCTCAAATTTACAAGTCCTCAATTTGTCGTCACTTCATCTCATGTATGTCTATCGTCATCTATCAAAATGGGAACAATGCCAGAATATTGCTTTTGGAGGCTACCACCTCAACGTAACCACCATGTCCTGCGATTATTTTTCGGAAAGGTGGTGGAAAGGTAGGCGAAAAAAGAAAAGACGGAGAGGGGAACTGAATGTGGCTAATTATAATTAGACGTAATTACGGGTGCGACGCGGGAGGACTTAGAAACAAATATAATTGGCAGGGGTGGGCCAGAGGTGGTGAAAGGGGAACAGAAGAGCAGACATAGGGCGAACGATTCATTCGCACAGGCAAGCAGCACCAATTAAAAATTTGCTTGCTGAAGAGAAAAAGAAGCAAAGAGAACACATGTCTATAGTTTTTCTGTCGAAGGTGTCTTCAATTATCATATTGTCTGTTGTATGTCCGTTTCAGATTCATAACAACATTTTATTTTGTAAATAGGCGGTTAGCCTATGTTGTGTACGCTTTAGCGTCTTTTGTTTGATACATCAATTGGATCTAATTATCAGAAAATTATAGTTCAGTTGTGTTATTTGGAGACAAAAAAACTTTAAAAGGAGTTTCAAAATATATACGAGACTAGGATTTTCATGATTTTGAATTATTCGCATAAATTGTGGTAGATCGAAGAAAACGAAACACACATAATCACACACGTCTTCTTCTGATTTCATTCTCAATTTCATTAATGCACATAATCTAGAACAAAAGTGGATAGCATTATATAGAAATTTGAGCGTGCAGGAACGTATATTCAGGTCTCGAATCACACCTGCGCAACCACCCTAATCCCAACCTAATACGGGATTTCCCAACACCTGGATGTTTTTGCTCTGGCAAAAACGGTGATGAAACAAATTAGTCAAAAATAATAATAAACGAAACTTACGAAAAAAATTTTATGTTTTACAATACAATTATGATTTCTAAGAAAGGGTTCAGACAGTAAAATATGAAATCTTTAATAAAACAAAAAAAAAATAAATAACGCAAAAAAAATAAAGCAAAAAAAAATAAAGTAATAAAGCAAAAAAAAAAAATAATGTCTAGTTTTCTTCTTCCACCCACGAACGGAAAGTAAATTCTACGGTAGGCAAAGGGGGGGGGGACACAACGTAGCAACGAAGGCAAATAAGGTACGCTGACATGTGGAAGAGGGAGGATGGTAGGTAAAATGCTAAGAGACAACCTGCGCTCCCGGAGAGTGCAGGAGAAGCAAGAATAAATTTGACGAGAAAGACCTGTTGTTTTGATTGTTCGCTTCATCGTCATTGGCTATCCCCTCGTTGCTAGTGCGCGCGGGAACCCGAAAATATAGATAGTTTTTGGGTGAGAATCTTTATTTGACCAATACAATGCCGCGCCGAAGACGAAATTGCACTGTGTTTTTTAACAATTCCGAGTTTTTCTCAGAAAAACGGTGTATCAAACAACGATATATCGAGTTACACGGAAAATGTTCTACGGCAGTCCGGAACTGAGCATCTTTTATTGAGATTTCTGAAAACAAATGGTGGTCACTAACCCAAAGAAAACGACGAGGAAAAGCTTGCGTGAGTTTGCTCAGGAGATTAACTGATGGGCTGTATTGTCTCTTCAACATGTGAGAAGTGGTTTGAAATGGAACTAAAAACTGACTTTCGAGTGATGAATTATGTAAATGTATAGCTGTTATTCCAAGAAAACCACAAAAGTCACAAACAACTAACCGCTCAAAGCAAGTTAACTATACATAGACTTCAACGTAAATGTTTCTTACAGCGAAAAACTAAAACTAATGTGTCAGGAAAACAACAAATGACCATTATTAGTTATCTAAAAGTTGGTGGAACACCGGGTACACATTTCCTACAGGTCAATGCGCATATTTGCTCAGACCCTATCTCACTTGGCTGCGATTGCTCTTCACCGCCAGCTAAGGAGTTTTCGAACCACCGTGCGGAAACGCATATACATATAAATATGATGTAAATATGAAATATCTTAGTACTTTCAGTTCAGGCGATCTCAAGTCAATCAAAGTTTTATTTGGGGGAATGGTCAGGCATGTCCTGAAATAAAACTCAGTTTTGTCTCTATGCAATGCAAAAAGAAAAATAGGGCGATTGATGGTGATGATGATAATGTGGTGTGATTCCTCTGGGAGGCCCCATCTGCGTTGGAGCCCTTTTAGACATAAGCATGCATAAACTAGTTTTTGGGATAGAAAAAAAGGGGATCAAGTCGAGTTGAAAAATTGGTCGTCTTTTTTTCAAGAATACTACAAAAGTTTATTAAAGGGGGAAAACGTGGTGGAATCTGGAATGACAGACAGTTTTTTTTATTTTCAGAAGTTTTAAAACATCTGAAAAGTTCAACTTCATATGAAAATTTTCAGTGGCGGATCGGAAGTTCATAAAGTTATCAATTACCGCAACAACACTCTACTTTCATCAAGTTTCATGTTTCTCTTCAAACCTCATCTGTTATATTATCATAATGAACTTGTCAGTTCCATATCAATCTATCTGCGAACATATTAGAATCATTTTTTGTGTTCAGTGTTTCACAAACAATCAATCCTCACTTAGCAAGTACCTCTTTGAGAATGAACAATGTTATCACTATTTGAAAAAGTTCGTGTTTTCTCATCCCTCAAATCAATGAACCCGCTA